CTTCTTCTTCTTCTAAACCTTCTTCTTCTTCTTCTTCTTCTTCTTCTTCTTCTTCTAAACCTTCTTCTTCTTCTTCTTCTTCTTCTTCTTCTTCTGCAGATGCCACTCACCCTTGACCCCTCATTCCCCTAGAGTACAAGAACCAAAGCTTCCGAACAAGAACTCTGCACAGCCAGAAAGATTCTGGTATACCAACCTCTGGGAGCTCTAATTCATGGCCATCGAGTTCCACGCGAATCTCCCACGGCAGTTCGCAACATGTCCGGTCAAGCACATCTTTCGCACCTTCCTTTGCATACAGCAGCTTATTTACCATCTGAGACAGTAAAACGACAACAACATCCCACAGGAGGAAATTGGAATGGTCGGGGTTAGCAGATTATTTCTATTGTTACCAGGACGAAAATTCATCGTCGATTCTTTTCGGTTTTGATATCCTGCAACATGTTTGGGGAGTGCAGATGTTGTTAAGGATGGCAGAAAGAAGACAAGAAAAGACAAAAAGAGAGGAAAAACGAACAAAAGACATACATGCAAGCCAACAAACAAAGCCGCTACGACTACTAACACCTCTCGGTATAATCAGGAAGGCCCTTGCCAACACGTTTGGGAGAGTAAGCTGTGAACTTCCATAGCTGGTAGGGCTATCAAAGTCGATCCAACGAGGTGAGAACAGGAGTGTATCCGACAAAAGTGGGAACAATCGAGACTGAAGTATAAAATGGATTAGGCTCAGAGAGCAAATTCTAAGGAAAGGTGGTCAGGAGGTGGCCGTGGTAAAGACCAACTCGCTCCTAGAGGCATGGCTGAATTCCGACAACTCTTCAGATGGGGCTCGGACTTGGGTCTGTGTTTTAGCAGTTCATGGGTGTACCAACTGACCTAGGAGTGAGAGGTTAAAAGAGTTGGATGGAGATCACAATGACACGGCAACTGCCAAGGAAGAATATCCAACACAGGCAACTCCGTACTGGCGAGGAATCCAAGAGGTGGTCAAATTGGTCGAATTGGTTGAATCGGCCAAATCGGCCAAATCGGCCAAATTGGCCAAATCGGTAAAACAGTACAAAAACTGGCAAAATCGGCAAAATCCAACAAATTGGCCAAATTGATCAGAATCCAAGAGACGCGGTTATTCACAAATAGACATGACTCTGTATTGCAACCAACACTCGGGACCAACCGAGGGCAGAATGGCAGGAGTAAGCCACAGATCACAGTGAAGAAGCCGATCTTTTCGAATCCGAAAGGGCAGCCACACCAGCGGTGGGATATTTGTGCTGAGCAAGCATTGGCCACATTCATGCTGCCTAAAGACCTGAATCTGTAGATCTGGAGGGATGGATTGTGGCAAGCTCGTAGTTGGATCCAAGGGGTGGAGTGGAGGGGACTTCGGCCACCTCAGAATTTAAGGTTTAAGCGAGGGACCGAATGGGGTGGGTATCCCCTCCCTCCCATTTTCAGTTCTGCGGAAGGAGAAAACTACCAAATTAATTTTACGATCTTAATATCTTCACTCATATACCTCAGTCTACCTAACCTCTTATCTAAGTCAAAAGCTTTTAGTATTGCCTGTAGATCTGGAGGGATGGATTGTGGCAAGCTCGTAGTTGGATCCAAGGGGTGGAGTGAGGGGGACTTCGGCCAACTCAGATTTAAGGTTTAAGCGAGGGACCGAATGGGGTGGGTATCCCCTCCCTCCCATTTTCAGGTCTGTGGAAGGAGAAAACTACCAAATTAATTTTACGATCTTAATATCTTCACTCATATACCTCACTCTACCTAACCTCTTATCTGAGTCAAAAGTTTTTAGTATTGCGTGTTGCAGTCTGTCAATGCACACGAGCTGGGGCCCCTAAGAGTTATGGGTTGGCACCGACCTCCTCCTGTGTCCAAGCACCGCAGCTTCCTCCTAACCCTGGGCAATGAATCGGAGGGGATAGACCCTACCAAGCCCTACCAGGGGGGGGGGAGCCGACTAACTCAGCTGGTGAACCCGTAGCGAGCCGCAGGAGGCTGTGGGGGCTCGAATGAAGACCGTGGGGAATCGAACCCATAACCTCCTGAATGCTGCTTTCGTGCTCTACCAACTGAGATAGGCTGTCGGCTCTTGCAATTTTAATATCATTTACCTAGCGGGCATCATTTTTTCACTTCTGCACAGCATTGTAGCTAATGCCTCTTTGCTACTGTCTCAACCAGCCCCAAAATTGTGATCTTCCAAAAATTGAAAGACCCTATCTGCTGCAGGGAACCATCAATGAGAACCCAAATTTCCCAGAAGCAGCGCAAGCCTCAAAGCAGAATCAGCATCCTGTCAGAAGTAATCAATGCCGCCCACCCGCATCTCCCAACCAGACTGGAGAGAAGTGTGTAAGTGTGCCAATGCTGTAATAATTTGACTTGCCGGTGGAAAAGGAACCGGACTGATGCTCCCCAGAATGGATGCGGGGCCAGAACCTTAAGGTTCTGTTTTCGGGAAAAAAGAAAAAAAAAAAAGGCAGAATCTGCATACATGAGCAAAGTCAAAAGTAGAATAACAAAGCCAAGAACACATGAAATGAGCACACACTGTCACCAAAGTATCTTGATAAAGAAAGCTCGACTTCTCGCCACCCCTAGTCAATACAACAACATCGTAGTAGTTCTCCAATGGTGTGACCCACAATCACTACCATCCTGTTACGCACAGCCCATCTCTCTCTCTCTCTCTCTCTCTCTCTCTCTCTCTCTCTCTCTCTCTCTCTCTCTCTCTCTCTCTC